AAAAAAAAAATTGCAAAATTTTTGTTTATGCTTCGCTTCTTCGAAATTTCTGCCATATTTTTATTCTCAGTAACATAACCTAGTCAGCATAGCACTTAAGTAGCGCAGCGGTTTGACTGCTCTGTTCGGACAACCGGTCATTTTACAGTTCTTTCGTTTGTTTTGATAACAAATCGGCACTGGCATACAACACTAAGTCAAACTATCCATCGGATTGCTTCTGAGCAACTCTAGAAGAATCTGCTGCTGTCATATGCTATCACTTAGTTTACCTCACACCTCTCATACAAAGCGGCTGCGAATGAGGTTTCGATTTTCCAATATGAATATTAGAACTATCCGGAAGGAGTCCACAGAGCCCCTAAAATATAGCCATATGTGCTTTTTTATTACGATGTGTATGTTGAGTAAAACGCAAAAAAGAAATATTTAGATTCTTGTAAAAAAAAATTAAACTTCAGGATGGATCGAGCCACTGCTGGAACGCATAGCACAGAAGTCGACGAACGTTGTAACGCCAGTGATCGATACAATAGACCTAGAGACACTACAGTATCATTTGTCCAGCCATAACAGACTAAGCGTCGGCGGCTTCAACTGGGGGCTTGTTTTTAACTGGCACATACTGCCGGATCGTGATTATTTGGCAATGAAATCACGCATCGATCCCGTGCCGTAAGCTGCGCTTATGCGTTTTTTCACTACTGGTACAATGTGAAAACCGATTTCATAATTGAGTAATCAGAGAAGCCGAAATTTGTAATTCGAAGGAGTCTGACATTTTAATTTGTTTTTCACGTCGAACCACAAAAACTGAGCCTCCACGTATGTCTGTGTCTCAGCTTCGAGCACCCTTTAAACTGTAAATCATGCATAATAAAATGCACCTGGACGGCTACTTGAATGTCATACATAGGCACGTGAAATTTGAAATTGTAGAGTTATTCAACTCAGCAACTGAACTAGGTACAAAGCTGAAATTTCACAAGTTTTTTCTGTGTCCAGCTTTAACTCTATGAACGTGAAATCAGCTCTTATGTGTTTTTGCTTTTTACGTCAGAACAGTGTAAATAAAAATCTGAGATAAGTTTGTTTTTCAAGATCTCAATAAAAAGTGAAGTCACTGATGCAGAGTAACCTTACTACTAAATGATAGACAGATAAAGCTTCAGGTATGAAACTATAAATTTAGCCTTTTATAAAAGAGGGAGTCAGTTTTCCGAATGGAATGAGGACCATCAGCAACTCTTTGAGCGGGTAGTTGTTATGAACAGTGTTGCTGCTCGGGTAATGCCTGTGTGCCTCATTATTTCACTGAAGCTGAAATAAAGCTCTTTTATAAAAGGACATCTTTTAAAACAGCCCTTTTATAAATTATTCACATACAGCACCATGTTTTCCGATTAAAGAGTAGAGGATAATCAAATGTTTCCTGACAAAAGACGTCCTTTTCGTTTTTCTGACTTCTCTCCCGTTTCTCTTCATACCAGGTTGGAAAAGGCCACTTGAATATGAAAAAAAAATCGACGAATAACTTGCATTTCAGTTCTCCAACAATGGCTGGTGGATTATTTTCGATCGATCGTGCCTACTTTGAGAAACTTGGCGGCTATGATCCGGGTTTTGATATTTGGGGCGGTGAAAACCTGGAGATATCATTTAAGGTGAAAATGAGAATTACCTGCGTATTTCAAACTGCTCCTGTTCTCAGTTAATTCACACAGTAGTTTGCGACATTAATCTCTGACCCGAACGAACTCTCCATAATTTTTATCCATGCCGAACAACGTTCCAGTGATAAATTCCCCCCTCTCTCTGTGTGTACATGTGTGTGTAAGTCTGTATGTATTTGTGTTTATGCATGCCCTACTTACAGAATTAAGCGTTCAGATTCCAGCTACAGATCATCGGAGCCTCAATACTAGCACGGCTCAAAGAAATTGATTCATATTTTTGTAGAAACGAAATGTCAGCAAAAAATGACGTATGTAAACACGCTTTTACCGTGTTTGCCCACAACTTGTTTTTTACTTAATACATCGAAGGGGTGGCAGTCGCGCTGAGATCTGCGATTTGTGTCACGTTTTCTCTCTCCCTCCTTCTCTTCCTCTTCATGCTTGTTTCATGAAAAATGACTTTAGCTCGACGGGTGCAGTAAGATCTGTCCAATTATAAGAGCAAAGGTCTCAGTGTTATCAACCATGAAAAATCGGGAGAATGAGGGTTTTGAATTTAAGCTAGTATTTCATTTTAGATCTGGATGTGTGGAGGGCGCCTGGAAATTGTTCCGTGTAGTCATGTTGGCCACATTTTTCGTAAAAAATCACCGTACAAATGGCGATCTGGTGTAAATGTGTTGCAAAGGAATAACGTACGACTAGCCGAGGCAAGCTCTTTTTTCTTCCGGACAAGTCTCCTCCGAAATTTCAAACATTTGTGGAGGCAGTGAATGCGTTGTTACACTGCCGTATATGAAGTTTTTTTTAAAGAGCTTTCATCAGTAATCTGACACAAAAATTTCCGACTTTGGTATGGCTCATTGCGGTTGAATGTTTGCTTTAGGTATGGTTAGACGATTACAAAAACATCTATTACGATCGGATCAATTATAAATTGGTAACTTTTGGATTATTTGGCTTTTGTTACTAAAAATCCAGAAGGGTTCGGCAAAGAATTGAACAGTTCACTTGTTGACTGTTTTCCTAATGAGTAATATTGGTAATTGGCGTTTCGAAGTTTCTCATAACAGAATCAGTCTTATCGAGGTAGTGTGTATCAAGCAAAGGGCGGTACTGGACCATCTAGTGAGAATAAGGGCAAACATGAACAGAGTTTATTACGAAATATCAATAAAATACTAACTGATCAATGGGGAGGTCAACACGATTGAAGATCCGCTTGAACGTCTAGGTAAAAAACGGAGGATGGAAACAATGTGAGCTATGTCGCTGGCGGAAAGAAAAGGGCAGTGAAACAACAGCAAATCAAAGTACCAAAATAAAATAACTTATTTCGTTAGCTCCTTAAACCAGTGCTCCTGTTTCCTTTACAAACTGTACCTAGCTTTGCCTTTTGAGGATATGGCAGACCCCCATCTGGCTTTGAGGTGTCATTAATTTTGATACTTTGAGCAGCCATAATTTGAAGGTTATGTACACTTGCGCACTAGTACGCTGTCATCTTTCCTCTTCTTTTGCCAATTAGTCTTCGTTTTGTCAACTAAATAAGCTAACTGAAATATAAATCGTTTATTCAGGGAGATTTCGGTGATGTATCAGAGCGAAAGAGATTACGTGAGCGTTTGAAGTGCTCTTCATTTAAATGGTACTTGGATAATGTGTTCCCCGACCTATTCTTACCAACAGATGCTATTGCTAGAGGAGAGGTATGTAGCACATACTATTCGTTGATTCTGGTGACGGGTTCCCGGATGTGTTTCAGTGCCGGTCAGCCCTGCAGTAAAAAGCTTTCTACAGTCTTGCTAGTAAGTGGTTGTTGTTGAAGTAGTATCCAGGTTAATCACAAACGTTTCCATCCTTTTTGATAAGATTGCATTACTGAACGGTTTTGACTCGAAATTTAACTCGCTCAGTCGATTAAGCGATTGCATTAACTGCTCGCAAAAAAAACAAGCACCAGCTGACAAAAATTTCAGCTTTGGTGACTCACCTTCTCACTCCACTGCCCTTAACTGGAAGATCGTGCAGCTACGACACGCGGCTCAGTTCGGAAGCTTCACATAGCTTCATTCTGCATGTTTACTCCACGCCACACTCTGTATGAACTCTATGGGCTTTGTGCAGAATAATCTCATAATTTTAATTTTGCACGAGTGATTTGCAGATTCGTAATGTTGGTAATCAGAAGTATTGTGTGGATCATGAAGTTGGTCGAAATGTTATAAACGATAGCGTAATACCGTATCCTTGCCATTTGCAAGGAGGGAATCAGGTGCGAAACATAGTAAATTTGACCTTAGCAAACAATTTAGAGATAACGTGTTAACGTACAGCTGTCCCTCTGTTCACTGAAAATATCATCACTTGAAAATCAGAAGATGGATCTCTGTGTTTTTTTCGCTTTATCTTTTCCACTATCAGCGCTGAGATTATCAACAGTCTTTAAACTGAAGCTTGCATTTGGCCTATTTTATAAGTATTTATTATCGTCCTTTACAAACTTCGTTCTGCTCCCCAAATTTTATTTCCCTCACTTACTCATTCTTATACTCTTTTTATCATTTTTGAAATGCAGAAACATATTAACGAGGTTGGCTATGTGTATGTATGTGCGTATGTGTGTGTGTGTGTGTGTGTGTGTGTGTGTGTGTGTGT